CCTGTCTTGTAACCCCTATAGAAGGTCAGGTCCCCTTATCGCTGGTCTGTGAAGTTCTCTACGTATTGTTTGTTGTAGCTGTTATATGTTCAAATATGATAATTTGAGGTCTGACGGAGGCATTATATGCCGAAAGCTCGCTGACTAGGAGGTAAACAATTCGAAAGGTTCAAACACACCACTCAGCATCATAAAATATTTTTATTCAAACATACTGGCACTTACGTCGAAACAGGCACTGAATCGTTTGAGCAAAGCATTCATTATCAGCAATCCTCAGCTCATCTTGCAGTCATATCCTCTTTTCCCCCAACAAGACCTTCAATACCATAGCTGTCTGGTACCCCCTTCCCTAGGTGTTTCATCTTTGAGGGTCTTTACGGAAAGGAAAGAGGACAATAAGACACATACCGCTCTTATACCCTCTTCAGTGTGAACATAATAGCCTAAACCGATATGTTTACTACTTTCCGGATCAAGCGTCGTGGGATCCGCAAAACGGGATAGTATACGACGTCCGGTAGAGAGGAGGGAGTCGTATGCGCGGGTGTGTCAACAATGAACTATGCACTGCTGCTGCATCAGTATCAAGAGGCCTGTGAATCTTCCTTTGAAATTCCGGTAAGTGGTAAGTTCCAAGAGTCAACCATTGGTGGAGCTGTGAAAGCGAGTGCTGGGTTGGCGACAAGTGGTCTTGCTTATTATGACGTGCTGCCTTCCTCCTAGACCAACAAGGGCCTTACACCAGTCTACAAATGCTATGATTCACAGCGAAATCTTCCCAATCATTTGGTAGGGAGCTGGTGCATGCGTAACCATCAATCTTTTATTGGGGAAATCACGCTACTTCTGGTTTCAATTCTTTGTTATTGCTTGCAAATCAGAACACAGCAATGAACACAGCAACCGTCTTATACGTACATATGCGCCATTCCCAGAACTGACAACAGTTAGCAAGAGACGTATTAGAACAGGATCTGTTATAGTGTATTCTTACAGCACTATCCTGCTACAGCTATATTTTCAACTACCAGAGACTGAACGTTGAAGTATTGAGCGAAGATCCTATCCTCATTATCTATCGGGATTTTGCCTCTGAAAGCTACGTCACGAATTTTTTATCGGACGTCAGAAAAAGGAAACTGAAAAAGCAGGTAAACGTGAAAGTTAAAACGTTTTGCTGGGAAAACAATTCATGAGTGAGTCTTTATCAGCATGGAGTGCATCCAAGAAGCGAACTTTGCTCCATAATTTGTTATTCTAAAAATAGCAAGCAGTGACTTGCCCAGTACAACTTACCTGGTAATCCAGAAAAGTGACTGATTTGAATCCTAGAAAATTTTTATATTCGGTCAACGAACCATAGCATTCTTGGTGGCATTTCCGACACAATATATATTATATGAGGCGGAGGTGGTGTAGTGACAAGTGGCGCGCTTACCACTCGCGCGGCGCCGGGTTCGAATCCCGGGTCGACTCCCGCCCAGGCCAACCAAGCCTTCTACCCTCCGGGGACGGTAAATTGGTACCAG